TTCGTTTTCACATTTTCGGGCAAACGCCAATTATCAGTAAAGAAATTGGGTCACAGGTCAAAGGCAGTGGGGGAAAAGCCACATCAGACATTTCTGAGGACATGGCCTAATGGTCAGAGTGAAAAACTTTTTTGTGTTCAGTGCTCACCTACCATTTTTATCATTATTGAAAGGACAATAAAATGTGCTTTCCGCTGACATGCAAAGAGTAGTGTCTGATAACCTTTTGACCCTCAAGAGGAAAGGTCAACATGGATTTGTTGACTGTTAACAAAGGACTGAACTGCTTTTGCTATTAGAACCCACTCCCCCCCCCTCATCACCACCACTACGCTCGGCGCTCAACGCATATTCATGATAACATGTAAATATAGTGAAGTCATTAAAGTTACACAGCTGTATCTTTATTACTGTACTACCGGTATAGCAAAGCCTATCATAGATTTTACATCTGTATTAAGGCCCGTCTCCACACACGCGGCACGGCATGGAACGCCACGGAAACGGCGTCGTTCACCCCTACCTGCAAAGTTCAAATCTATTATATCTTATGGCACAGTCTCCACTGACACGCGCACGGCGCCAGCCCGGTTTCACGCAACGGCGAAAGATCAAATGAGTTTGACTTTTGCCGGCTGACGTGACGGCGAAAAGACAATTGAACCAATCAACGCGATTGTTTTTATCACGTGTTTGCTCACGCTACCATCAGCCAATGGACAACAAGCACATGTATGCATAATTTCTGATCACTGAACCAGAGTGAACACAATTCGCTCAGCTACAATGCGCGAAATAACAATGTATTTTTTTTCAGCACATTGGCGCTGCATTTTGCTGTGTCGTGTCGTGCCGCGTGTGTGGAGACATAGCTTTAGTAGTATCCTAGATATATGCTCTGGGCGCGAACACGGTGGCGGGAGGGCGCACTTGATTCGGTTGCCAGTGAGTTTATCAGAAGAATACCCGGCTACAGTACACGTCAGTTGAGCGCTGTCGCTCTGCGGCACTTGTTGGTAATTAATTAAACTATTCGTGATTCAATAAACTCAAAATTCACGGGGGATTATAGCTAAGACGTGTTTATAACTTATAAGTATCTAGATTTCTAGAAATGTAGCTGAATTCGTTCACGAGATATGAGAGTTAATACACTTTCATGCCGCCTATATCGTAATAGCGTATGCGCGTGGGGGGTGGGGCGGGGTTAACAGCTGTATACAATGCGCCCAGTACGTATACAGGCGGGCGCGGTTCGAACATTTAATTATATGTAATTCACTTCTAAAGAATATCTACATTGGGCACCCCCTCTAATATTTATAGTACTGCCATAGGCTACAACTGTGGCAGGTTTGATGCTTTTGTCAGCTCTGTAACGATCATGAAGCTAAGCGACCTGACTAAGTTTGGAACCCCTGTATATATACTTTGTATATGTTCTAAGCTAATCCGGGGGTCTAAAGTGTAAACTAGAATAGGGTCGTCATTTTTGGGTGTGAACGATGGCTGAAATCTATCTCATTTGTGCATGTGTGTGAAGTTGTATGAAAATGCATGTTAATCAATTTTAATCCTTCTAATTTTATTCTACAATTAAACCCCAGTGCTATGCTGCATAGATGGAATGTAGAGGTTGTTGATGAGTATATAAATGTTACACATTTCATTAAGATTTTTGTTGTATTGATAGTCAGTAAAATGCCACTAACCGGAAACTGGAAATTCCGGTGTTCATGAGCTTGGCACTTTTTACCTCCGCCAGGGGCATGGCGGGGGTTATGTTTTCACCGGCGAGTTTTTGAGTGTTGGTTTGTGTGTTTGTGTGTTACCATGCACGTTTCAGTTCACTTCCGCTAGGTGCGCTGGCTGTAGACTTACAACACGCAACCACAGGTTAAGGGGCAACCACAGTCCTCCCCCACCTGCACGCTCGCACTAATCCGGATCCAATTAATATTTTAATTAATTAATTAATTAATTTTTCCACTTAATTTAATTAATTAAAGGAGGAAGGAGAGAAGGAGGGAGAGAAGGAGGGAGAGAAGGGAGATGGTGGAGGAGGAGGGGGAGAAGGGAGAAGGGGATAAGGAGGGGGAGAAGGAAGCTGGTGGAAGAGGAGGGGGAGAAAGGAGAAGGTGGTGGAGGAGGGGGAGAAGCTGGTGGAGAAGGAGCAAGGAGAGAAGGAGGGGGAGAAGGGAGCTGGTGGAGAAGGAGGGGGAGAAGGGTGAAGAGGATAAGGAGGGGGAGAAGGAAGCTGGTGGAAGAGGAGGGGGAGAAAGGAGAAGGTAGTGGAGGAGGGGGAGAAGCTGGTGGAGAAAGAGGAGAGGAGAAGGGAGAAGGTGTTGGAGAAGGAAGAGGGGGAGAAGCTGGTGGAGAAGGAGGAGGAGAAGAGAGAAGGTGGTGGAGAAGGAGGGGAGAAGCTGGTGGAGAAGGAGGAGGGGAAGAAGGGCGATTTTAGTGGATTTGGTTTCAACACCAAAAAAATATAATTTAATTTAAATTTAATTTAAATTCATTTAAATTAATTAATTTAATTTACTTAATTTTTTGCACAGGTTCAGCTGTCTAACCCTATTTTCTTCTCACCTGGTAACTCGATATTCATTACCAGTCACGTACTGCATGTACAAAAATTCAGTGGAACCGCAACAAGTGCGCCCTGTGCCTGACCGATTGTCCGACAGAGAAAAAAGATTCGCATTCCCTGGCGCGCCCACGCGGATGTCTACACCTATGTCACACACACACACACGCACGCACACACACACACACACACACACGCACACACACGTATGTCTACACCTATGCACGCATGCGCGAACGAACGCACGCACGCACGCACACGTGTATGTCGACACCTACGCATGGATGCACGAACGCATACACACCCGCACACACGTCTACACCTATGCACGCACGCACACACGCACGCACGCACGCACGCACACACGCACACACGTGTATGATGCGCACGCACACACGTGTATGATGCGCATGCACACGTCGACTCCTACGTGTTTCACGATGAAGGAGTCGAAGGAGAAGCGGCTTTCGAAGGAGTTCACGTGCAAGCTGCCGCTGGAGAGGCAGAACAGCGGAGGAGTCGGGGACCAAACGGTGCGTCCGTGCAGGAGAGTGAGAGAGAGAGAGCGAGAGAGAGAGAGAAAGAGAGAGCGAGAGAGAGTGAAAGAGCGAGAGAGAGAGAGGGCGAGAGAGGGAGAGTGTGAAGGGGAGGGAGGGAGAGTGTGTGAGAGGGAGGGAGGGAGAGCGTGTGTAGAGTCATATACAGTAGACGTTCTACAGATTTCTTCGCATCTCGAACCCTATATAGGACGTACAGAAGTTGCATACTGCAAGCATGCCGTGCCGCGTGTGTGGAGACGGGCCTTAATACAGATGTAAAATCTATGATAGGCTTTGCTATACCGGTAGTACAGTAATAAAGATACAGCTGTGTAACTTTAATGACTTCACTATATTTACATGTTATCATGAATATGCGTTGAGCGCGAGCGTAGTGGTGGTGATGAGGGGGGGGAGAGTGGGTTCTAATAGCAAAAGCAGTTCAGTCCTTTGTTAACAGTCAACAAATCCATGTTGACCTTTCCTCTTGAGGGTCAAAAGGTTATCAGACACTTACTCTTTGCATGTCAGCGGAAAGCACATTTTATTGTCCTTTCAATAAAGTGATAAAAATGGTAGGTGAGCACTGAAACAAAAAAGTTTTTCACTCTGACCATTAGGCCATGTCCTCAGAAATGTCTGATGTGGCTTTTCCCCCACTGCCCTTTGACCTGTGACCCAATTTCTTACTGATAATGGGTTTCCGAAATGTGAAAACCGAAATGTGAAAACCGAACCGAACCGTGAAGTTGTGATTCGTAGCACCCCTAGTACTAGTACTACTACAGGCTTTCAGATTTGAAAAGTACAGGAGGACTACTAATCACTCCCCTAGGACACCATAGGGGGTATTTTCACGCTCCATAATCACACCCTTAAGAGGCATGATGGAGAGCTCCACTAAAAAAGCAGAAAACCACTTCTCGCCACGTATAGTAGAAAACGAGCAGGTAACTTGTGGCTACCGTATAGGTACCTGTATTTGGATGCTGTTGTTTAGTTGTATTTATATATATATATAAACCAGAGGGTAGTAACCAGACCTGTACCTCTGCCATACGTTCAGTCACTTACACACCACAAATTGTTGTGTGTTGCTAACCTTTTTGTACCCCCCTACATTGAGAACTCTATGGAGCGCTATTCAAACGTAATAGACATACTTTTGGTGCGCGATTTCAACCACTTTTATGAGGCGTGATGATGCGCGCACCATGGCACAATTTTGGGTGTGCGGTGGAGCGCGAGCGCGATCGCGCCCCTTAAAAATGAAAGCCTGCTACTACTACTAACTACAGACTATAGTACTACTACTACTAAGTACTACTAAGTATAATACTACTAGTACTACTACTACTGCTCATAGGGTCTATGTTCCCAGGGTAGTGCCGGAACGTACCCTGGGTACGGTCCGGTATACCGGAACTTACCCTAGTAACTATCTGATATCATAATATGGATATGGTTAGGGTTAGGGATAGGGTTAGAGTAGGCGAGGTACGGTCCGGCATATTAGATAGTACCAGGGTACGATTATTAGTACCCTGGGGGACATAGACCGTCTCAGCACTACTACTAGTACTACTACTACTACGTACTAGTACTAGTTGTGTGTGACATTATAATATAACTTAGATTTAGTGGTGGTACTGGTAGTGTTATACCTGCGGCTAACCGTACTCTGACCTCAGCATCACTTAAAAGTTCCAACGCTCGTGTCAAAAGCATGTCACTAAACTCAGCCATCCATTTTCCTTCATTTGGGACTAGGCCTACATCTTCATTGGCTCTGTGAAGCAAGAGGGCCTTGGATCCCGAAAGTGCACCCTGTTTACTCTCCCAGTTAGCAGTGTCATCTTTTAAAATTTGCGTTAATTCCTTTTTTAACGATTCGTACGTTTCACAATCAGCCTGGGGTAGCAGTTTATTGAGTTCAATTACTCCCCGATCACGGTTTAGTTTCTGCGTCGAACACAAATGCGAAATAACATCCATGTTTTAACGATTACGCATGCTGGTGATGAGTACATATCCCTAGATTCATAGAATTTTTCCCGGATCTTTATTTTTAAATATTAACGTCACAGCATATAAATTAACACTGATAAAGTTATAGTTTTATTTAAAAACTTGTAGGAAACGTGTTTGTATATATATATATATATATATGTGTGTGTGTTTGTGTGCGTGCGTGCGTGTGTATATATATGTGTGTGCGTGCGTGCGTGCGTGTATATAAATGTGTGTGCATGCGTGCGTGCGTGTGGTCCGTGCGTGCGTGCGTGCGTGCGTGTTTATAAATGTGTGTGTGCGTGCATGGTGTGTGCATGAATGTGTGGTCCGTGCGTGCATGCGTGCATGCGTGTGATCTGTGCGCGCGTGCGTACGTGTGATCTGTGCGCGCGTGCGTACGTTGCGTATAAAAATCTCAACTACTAACTATAATCTCGATCGCTTCGTCCGTGAGCAGGAAGCCTCAACCCGACGCTGACAGACCGCTGCGGCCGCCCGCAGAAAGGTCTTTCCACCGTCATCCACATCCTCAACGACTTTCTCGGAGCGCAGAAGCAGGAGCGCGACGCAAAGGTCAAAGGTCAGCAGCCGACAATTTATTCGGCGCACGGATCCATAGCTGCCAGCGCTGCATACTGTCGTAGGAGGTTCCCGCGGTCGCGTGCGCCTTGCCGCGGAACTGTGCGCAAGATCTGCGCGTATAGCAATTGGGATCAACACCTCCTTTCGGCAACGCTTCTCTAGTATCCCGTCTCATCTGGATTATTGTGCCACAGCTAGGATGGAGCCCACACCAGAAAGAACAGATCAGGAAGGTAGAAATGGTTTAAAGGCGCGCTGCACGTTACACCATCAACCGCTACAGAAACACCAGTGTCAGCAGTATCAGTGGCGCCCGCAGATAGAAGCACTGGAAGCACAGTGCTTCCAGTAAATTTTGGGTTAAAAAATTTTGTTCCTAAATCTCTCTCGCAAGATCTACCAGATTGCATCTCCAGACGTCTACCATTCAAAAATTTTCAGGGTGGCATGCCGCATGCTTCCAGACCCCCCTAGCATGCAGCGCGCCTACAGCGCTTGCTTTTTATTATCACTGAGGATTTTATCCTTCTGTGCTTCTACTTTCTTAAGACCTGTGGGCGCCAGTGAGCAGTATGCCATACCAACGGGGCTAGCAACGATTGGAAAACATGAGAACAAAACTACAACTGACCGTGTTATTTAAAATCGTTAACAATCTGGTGGATACTCCAAGCGATTCATATTTGACACATATGACAGCCCGCACTAGATCAGCACACTCCAAGAAACTCAGTCAATTCTCAACCAGAGCAGACAGCTTCAAGTTTGGTTTCTTCCCCAGGACACTACCAGTTTGGAACTCTTTACTAGATAGGAATAACCATTTGTCTCTGACGCATTGGACGCGGGACAATGCTAACAAATTCACAACGAGAGTGAGGCCATTTGTATTGACCTGCGCGCCATCTAACGAGCAATTAAATAAGCCTGCTCTATTTACCAGCACCAGTTGCTGAGGCTCCCTCCTTAGTATCTTTTAAGGGGGAGCTGTCACGTCATTCATTCGGAGGTCCTTTGGTCCCCATTCGCCCAGTAAGTCAAATAAAGGCCTTGAGCTATGCCGGCGGGGAAACATATTGCTGGTACCGCCACGGAAGCCGGATTGGTCTTGGCTAGATGACCAAAAAGCAAATGCGTCAACTCTTTTACTTGTTATTTTAATTCGTTAATCTTTTTACCTTACTTTATTTATTCTTGGTCATGTAATTCTTATTTGCTAATTTTTATTTTTATTGCGCCTACCGGAAACCGTTGAGTAATTGTCAAGAGTGACAGATCGACGTAACCATATAGATTTAGATGTAGATAGATAGATTGATAGATTGATAGATAGATCGATAGATCGATCGGTAGATAGTTAGATAGATAGTTGGATAGATAGATAGATAGATAGATAGATAGATAGATAGATAGATAGATAGATAGATAGATAGATAGATAGATAGATAAGATGGATGGATAGATGGATGGATGGATGGATAGATGGATGGATGAATGGATGGATAGAAGGATGGGTGGATGGATGGATGGATGGATGGACGGACGGACGGACGGACGGATGCACGGATGTATTTATGTATGTATGGATGGATGGATGGATGGATGGCTCGATGGATGGATGGATGAATGGATGGATGGATGGATGGATGGATAGATAGATGGATGGATGCGTGCATGCATAGATGGAGAGATTGATAATATAGATAGATATAGACAGATAGATAGATAGATAGATAGATAGCTAGATAAATATATAGATATATATTATGCTATATCTATATATAGATATGCTGGCATTGTTTATAATACCAGCCTCAGATGTGGAATGGTGCCAAATGACTGGAAGCAAGCCAATGTCACTGCGGTATTTAAAAAGAGTGACCGATATGATGCAAGCAACTACAGACCGGTGTCACTCACATGCACATGTCACACACACGTCTATGCTGTAAATTCTTGGAACGCATCAGTGTAAGCAACACCATGAAACACTTTGACGAACACAGTATACTGACCGACTGCCAGCATGGTTTCAGAGCAAGAAGAAGTTGTGAAACACAGCTCATCACCATGTGTCATGAACGCGCTTCTGCCCTTAACAAAGTAGAACAAATTGATATGACCATCCTAGATTTCTCAAACGTATTTGACCGTGTTCCTCACCAACGATTTCTGAACAAAATCGCACATTATTGAATAACAGGGCAAACTCACAAATGGATACAGTCATTCCTATTCAACCGCACTCAGCAGGCCATCGTTGAGGGTTAATCATCAGAGAAAGACGTCCCAGTTGTCAGTGGAGTCCCACAAGGAACAGTAAGCCTACTTGGCCCGTTATTATTCCTCTTGTTCATCAATGATTTGCCTGACAATCTAACATCACAGGTACCGGTACGATTATTTGCTGATGATTGTATAGTATATAGAAAAATCAAGATAACATCAGATAGCAGGACCTGTACAACAGGACCTGTACAAGCTTGCAGAATGGGAGAAAACTTGGGGTATGGCCTTCCACCCACAAAAGTGCAGCGTGTTATCGGTGACTCGCCAACGTTCGCCCATCAAATATCAGTATACACTAAAAAGACAAGTGCTTGAAATATCTAGAAGTACAAAATACCTAGGGGTAGATATTGAATCCAGCCTGTCATGGAAACACGACATCGACAGAATCACTAAAAAGGCCCACAATACGCTGGAATTCCTCAAGAGAAACCTTGAAGGAACAGCAAACCAGATGAGACGGGATACTAGAGAAGCGTTGCCGAAAGGAGGTGTTGATCCCAAGCGCTATACGCGCAGATCTTGCGCACAATTCCGCGGCAAGGCGCACGCGACCGCGGGAACGTCCTACGACAGTATGCAGCGCTGGCAGCTATGGATCCGTGCGCCGAATGAATTGGCCGGCGCACAGATCCATAGCTGCCAGCGAACAGTC